AGATTGGGGTTTGATTTCGAGTGATTCGTAGAAGTCTCTACAATAATGATCAATGAGGAAGACGTTGTGATGGCTAATCGTACATGGTCAGGTACGGCCGAGCGCTGGTTAGATTAAGCCTACACCGCTACAGTCGGTTACTTATCGGCTGATCTTACGGCAGGGCAATTCAAGCGGCCGTCGAACACATGGTCCTTTGGTGCTGTAAATGAACGTCTGAGGCTTGGTCGGCTTTCGTAGATTTTGCGCAGTTGCCTCTTTCCCTTTGAAAAATGTGATGGTATCCGTCCCTACACATAGTTTCCGTTTTTTGAAATGTTTTCAAATGTCATACAGTTGCCGTTTCTTAAGAGAATATGTGATGAATTTTGGAAGCTCGGAATTCCATGGTTTGCAATACATTTATCTCGATTTCTTTTAATTTTGCAAAGCAGTGCGACGATTCGCTAGCGCTAGTACGGCGCGACGGCTTGCTGGCGCGAATGTGGTACGAACGCAGCAGAACGAAAAGCTGTAGTGCGTTTGCCTGGAGGTAGCCATATCAGCGTGTTCCAGACTGAAATGAAGTCTGGGATGGTCGACCGTTGTAATATTTAACAAGAGTTAATATCTGTTAGCAAGTGGTGATAACTGATAGACCGTATGCTGTTCACTGTCAACCGCACGAGAACGTGCGACAGTCAGAGGTAGCCGTGTCTGTGCATCTAGAAAATACTAGAGACGTTGCAACACTCTAGCGAAGTAATTATTCCAGTGCAGGAAAGAAACATGAAGTTGCAGGGAGGCTGGTCTGTGCTGCACTGTGTAATATGTGTCGAGTTGCTGTTGGTTTACATACTTAGGTGTTATCGTCTGTCACTACGTCCCTCACGATACACTTTTGTGTGATTGTGACGGGGACATGTTTGCGGTATGATTGGTCTGTAACTATTCTATACTGAATTGAAAAAAAAAGAGAGTAAGAAAAATAATGTGGTTCTTACTATCATTGCAGGGCGTTTGCCGGTCCAATGATATAGCTAAAGGGAATAGTGATTCCGGACTAGCATAAATAGTACTTGAAAAAAAAAAAGCGTAAGAAAAAAATAGTTCTTACTATCATTGCAGGGCTTTGTGCCGGTCCAATGATATGGCTATAGGGAATAGTTGTTATTCCGGACTAGCGAAAACAGTACTTGAAAAAAAAAAGACAAAATAGAAAAAGCTACAGCTACTATCTAACATAAAGATGATTAAAGTTTTGTAGGGCTTACTGCCGGAACAAAACTGACTGTCACCCAAGTCTGAAGGGTCAATATAGACTGGACCAGACGCTGTTATGTCAGGATAGTCGAACGATGTTTTTTTTTGTCTACAGATAACTAAAATTGTGAGGGAGCGCGTGCGAGGACGCACGCATGTCAGTATGGCCGTGACGGCACCTGCACCGTTGTAGATGTGGTGGCGTCGGTCTAGCTAGACAGAATTCTTGTAAATGACACGTGTACCGCACACCTGCGGCATTGCACCTGCGTTGCCACCCGTCCTGCTTGTATAAAACGGACGGAGCGGCCGCTGTTAAGACAGTCTTGGCTCTGACGTGGAACGGTACACTTGTCGTATTCCGTTACTAGTTTATCCTCGACTCATTGGATAATTAATTCGTGTAAACGAATTAATTATTATTCCTAACTACAAAATTAGTCTCTGTAGTATACCCACTATACTTCCTACATATACTATTATTATATAATATATTTTAACTAATGATGAAATATAAAATAATGAAATAAAGTAATAGTAATTTATAAAAAAATTATAAACATAATATGCAAATAAAAACAAATTACTTTATTTTGAATATTCTTTACTGCAAATATGTTCTATATTGTAACTAGTATATCGTAATTATAACTCCAGCTAAAATATAAAAACCTTTATATGTAAGTTGAAATAAAAATACTGTATTATCATAATCATATTTTGTTTTATTTATCATCCCATTAGATCCTTAAATACTAAATATTACATAAAAACAATAGATTTAAATACACTTAACTTTTACAACAGAGTTATACATGTCGAAAAAATTAATCACTTATTTATAGATATTCTATTAACATAAATTTTATTAATTGATTTCAAACTTAAATACTAGATTTGCTTAGTTTTTTTAGCACTTTACAAACTAAATGTTCTGTCTCATCCATGATGTCATCATATGCACTTGTCACTAGATATTGCACGTTCACAGCTGCATTTCCAGATTCAGTCTTTATTTATTTAAATAATGTATTATAATTTTTATTAAATGACGTACATCACCCGTTTCCTTTCGCATGATAAATAAATGAAAACAAATTAAAATTTGATATTTTTATTTTTTTATTTTTTCGTCCGATTTTTGGCGACGGCTCTGCTCGCACGTCTTTGTCGCCACTTCATCGTACCAGCCTATCTTGAGCATAGTAAAATGGATTAGTAATTAGGTTTGAGTCTTCTATCAAATTCTGAAAGCCAGATATAAAATTACTACCCATGAATTTAAAATCAATTAAAAATAATAAAAACTAAATAGTAACTTACCTCACGTATATTTTCTAAGCTATCCAAAAGAGGACTGTAAGATGGTGTATGTGACATGTTTCTGAAAAACAAAAATGAGTATAAGTTACATATTTTATTACATTTATAAGAGTTAGAATTACAATAGAAAATAGAATAAGTTACTTTATTATTTAAATATTTCATTTAAAGTACTTACTCCAAATTTCAGATAAAGGAACAAACGTGCTCTTTATAGAAAGTACTGTAGCGAAATGACGTGATAGCGTGTTGTAAGATGAGAATTGTATAATTTACAGAATAAGCATAATATACTCAGGATTTGTAATATCAGAATAGCATTATTTTGCAAAGTAAGCATAGATCTACTAAGAAATTTGTAACACGAGAATAGGAGAACATTTAGCAGAACAGACATGATGTGACATGCATTTCTCTCTAATATTGTTCATGCAAAATTTAAATATATACCTATGTTTGTAGGTTAGTAACTCATTCAATAAGCACGATGAAGTTGATCAAACAACCCATATCGCTAAACGTTAGCAATATTAATATTGATCACTCTGCTCACAAGATCAGACATAGCATTCTCTTACCAAATACCATTCGCTGTATAATATGCGGTCCCTCTAATTGCGGTAAAACAAACGTTGTAATAAGTTTATTGTTGCATGAAAATGGGCTTAAATTTCAAAATCTTTACTTGTATTCAAAAACTAACTATCAACCAAAATATCGTTTTTTCCGAGAAGTAATTAAGAGAGTACCTAATATTTCATTTTATGAGTTCAATGATAACAAAGACGTTATAGGTCCAAGTGAAGCTTTAAACAATTCTGTATTTATTTTTGATGATGTTGCTTGTGAAAATCAAATCAACATTCGTAATTATTTTTCTATGGGCAGGCATAAGCAAATCGATTGCTTTTATTTTTCTCAGACCTACTCAAAAATTCGGAATTTTTGCTACGAGACAATGCTACGAGACAATGCCAGTTTTATTATAATATTTAAACAAGATGATGTGAACTTAAAACATATTTATGAAGAACATGTTAGTTCTGATATGTCATTGAATCAATTTAAAAATATTTGTAATATAGTTTGGAGTAAGCCGTATAATTGTTTGTATTAACAAAGAATCACCGTTAAACAATGGCAGGTATAGAAAGAATTTTGATATTTTTTTAACCTAGAGTAAACTATTATAAACGGGTTTTTTAGATAAAACTATTTAGTTTTATTGTAGCCGCGATAGAATGAAGTATTGTAAAGTATTATGGAAAAGCAAATTAAAATGGAATTAATGAAGTCAGTGGACTCCATAAAGAATAAAATAAAAAAAATGAAAAATAATGAGCATGAACTGAACTTATCCCTAGATAAAATGCTAAAACCTGTTACAGAGCCCCTTAAAATCATATTAAATAAGCAAAAACCAAATTAAGACCATAATTTATCGATGCAATCAGGCGCAAGTTCTGCTGGATCATTTGAATCGGAATTTCAGAACTATTACGATGCTGACTTGAGTTCTGCAGAATCCCCAAAAAATGAAATTAAAGACAATTTGGAGGCTTCATTAGATCGGAATTATATCTATGATATTTACGATGATAAATTAAATATACCATTTGGGATAAGAAAAGAAAAGTAAACTTACATGATGGGAAATTCAGAAGTTACTTTTTCTAAAATTGACAGTTTGGATAACGAAACTGTATTTTTAGTAAAAATTGGAGATAAATCTTACAATTTAACTATCGGGTTAAGAGAACTTCTACTTAGAAAAAAACCTGATTTGAATTTAGTATCAAGCGCTAAAAAACTCGTGTACAAAGATATTCTACACCATACTAACGCTCATAAGAGAGATTTTAAACCTAGAGGTCAAATAAGAGGTGATAAGGGAATTAAATATCGAAAAATAATTAAACCATTATTTTCCGAGACCTTAATCAAATATAAAAAAATCGAAAAAAAGCTTGGAGGTAATTTACCTAAGCTTAAGAAATATATAATCAACACTGATATTGTATATTGGGACAATCCAAATGAATTAGTTGATAGATTAAAAATTTCAATAGCCTCAAGATATGCGGGCAATACAAATCATGATAATGAAATTTTATCGATCATTGAAGAATTGAAAGAAGCTAACATTATAAAGGAATAAAATACTAATTATTACTAGCTTTTACTCAGTATTGGTGAAGTTGCTCATGTTGCAAATTACTAAAAAATTGTCTGTATTTATTTAAGTACCAAACAGCATAAAAGAATTATTTTTAAGAACTACCAAGATAAGAATAAAATAAAATACATTATTTTTTTAGACATGAGTAAAGCCGATGTAGTAAATAAAATTCATAGAAATGCTAGGGTGAATTTCCCACGTATAAATGTTATTACGAAAGATATAGATGATTTATACAATTAAATCATACATTTCAATGAATGAAGCAGAAAATAAAGTAGCAGCTTTGTGGGTTTGGGATATGGATGGATTTGAAAGTGAAAACGGTGATTTTAGTGCTACTGTACCTTTAAATAAGATTTTAGGGTTTGCAGAAGATTATGCTAAAATTGTAATAAATTGTAAACATGAACTTATACTGAACAAAAGTAATTCTAACATAAATAGTATTATAGGAACTGAAGATGTTGCACATTTTCAAATAGACATACAAAGAATACAATGGCGAGTGCCACATGTGAAAGTATCAGATCGTAAACGACTGAAACTTCTTAAACATTTAGAAAGAGATAAACCTTTACAGATGGCATTTAGAAATTGGGATTTATATGAATACCCTTTACTTCCTACAGTAACTAAGCATTCCTGGTCTATTAAGACTGCGTCACAATTAGAGAAACCTCGATATGTAATTTTTTGTTTACAAACAAACAGAAAAAAATCAAAAAATGAAAGACTGTTCAGTATTTGATCAATGTGGAGTGAGAAATGTGACATTGTTTTTGAATTCACAATATTACCCATACGAGCCCTTATGTTTAAAGTTTTCCGAAAACAAATTTATATATTATACGAAATGTATGTGAAATTTCGCCAGTCGTACTACAACTGTCCCTCAGACCCATTGCTTGATTTAAGTAGCTTTAAGGAGAAGGCTCCGCTATTTGTGATAGATTGTTCAAGACAAAACGACAGTCTAAAAACCGGACCCGTAGATGTTCGTTTGGAGACAATAGCAGAGAAGACAACTAGATATTCTTTAATTATTAACGATCAACTTGTGGAATATAAGCCTTTAAGTAACATAGTGCGCAAGTTGACATGACTGCTATCGTAGATGTCCAAGGTTTCAAAACAGAAAGAAAGGAATTCATAGTGAAAGAAATTGCAATATTGTGTAACAATAAAATACAACGACTTTTAATTAAACCACCATTTGCTTTTTACAAATTGACTGTAAAAGAAAAGAAACATGTAAATTGGATTCAACGTAATAGAAAGATATATTGGTGTGAGGGAGTAACACCTTATTTAAATTATCAGAATTTGATTGCAGATAATATAAAGGATAAATGTATATACCTCAAAGGTTTAGAAAAAGTTGTATGGTTAAAACCCATATTACAAAATGATAATATAATTAATTTAGAAGATAAAGGTTGTCCTAGTTTGTTAAATCTGTATGATCGATATAAAGATTGTAAAGATTTGTATAGTTGTATTAATCACGACTCAGTATGTGCTTTAAAAAATGTTTTTTGTTTAAATAAATGGTGCTCTGATAATAACATTTGAAATATTCTTTATTTTATTTCATAAAAAAACTCTCCACCAACAACTTTTTTAAAATGTTTATAAGGAATCAGCGCAGCTTTGCAGCTTCATTATACTCTTGCAACCAGCAAGATCAAACCTCTGCAAAGCATGAGGGACATGTCTCAAAACGAATACAGACCCCGATATAGTTTATATGATTCATATAAAACACGCTTATTTTCATTTAGCCATTATTGGGCAACGAGTGATTTAAGAGAAGCAGTGGTGAATGAAATGGCTGATGCGGGATTCTTTTATTTTGGCGATAGCATAAATGATACAGCTGCTTGTTTTTCTTGTGGAGGAGTTATTAGAGATTGGGAGATTTACGATGATCCGTGGATGCAACACACATTACATTATCCTCAATGTTTTTATGTGATGCATGGTAAATCAATGTGAGTTAAAAAGAGTGACACAGAATTGAGAAGACATCTGCTTAGTTAAAAAAATGGAAATATAGAGCTGTTTAGTGTAATATTAGGGCGAACTGCATCGCGAACGGATATGAGTGATGCAGCAGCCAAGTCCACAAGTTGTGACCGTAAACGCCAAGCCTGTAAGTTATGAGCGTACACAACAAGTCCATAAGTTATAACCACACACACCAAGTCCACAAGTTATGACCGTACATATCAAGTCTACAAATTATGACCATACACACCAAGTCCACAAGTATATCGGGGTGCTGAAGTGTTTGTAGCCTGGGGCCTTGCCGTTTTTAAGATGCTGGAGAGCTATTCTAATCTCGATCAGACTGACGTCCGGGATATCTTCGAAATAGTGTCGGATAAGGCAAATCCGAAAAAAATCGCTCTTGGATCGTTACCCACACTTGCGTGTGGCTCCAACAATGATGCGTACAGCTGTCCATAGAAAAAAAAGCACCTTGATAATATTAGTTTACTCACCATAAGTGACATGTGAAAGCGGCAACGGTGTGGCAGGTACGCAGTGCTCACGCGACATCGACATATGTAATTATTTTTTAATACAGTTGCTCAAAAAGTGGCGTATTGCAGGGACGTATAGCGTTCGGGATGTGGGCTATTACATACTCGTGCTTTTTCTTTACCTTTTCCGAACTCGTGCGTTCTCTTTCCCAACTGTCAAAATAATGTCTATTAAAAAGAAAATACCAACCACGAAGTTTTTACAAAAAAAATTCATAGAAGTTTTTATGATTCCTGCAAATATTTCTAAAAAGAAGCTACTAATTTGTTTCAATATCAGATTTAATGATTTGATTCAATGAGCTAGGTTAGGTTTCATTTCATTTCATCTCATTAAATTTCATTTTCATTTCATATCAATAAAAAAATTCTACTGAAGACTTGCCTGTATACACAGATTGGGTGAAGAAAACAAAAAAAAATCTCTGTTTATATTCTTTTACGGTTGGCGCCATTTTCCAAAAATGCTCTTTATTAAATTGCTTCATTTTTCGCAACTGTATTAAAAGCAGTTGTTTAGTACAAGTGCGGAACCGTCATTGCAACTTGTTCCGACTGTCAACCCTCACCTTCGGCTGCGCCTCGGCTCGGGTAGACATTTGTCGGAACTCTTTGCAATGACAGGCTTTCCGCACTTGTAATCAAATATACTACTTTCGAAGCTCCCTTCCTATTGGCTTCCCCAGAAATTGTGCAATTGGATCACCAGCTTCCTTGCAGATCGGAGCATCAAGGTCGTTGTAGACGGCGCATATATATATATATATATATGGGTGACAAACGAGTACACAGTCCACCTGATGGTAAGTGGTTGCTGTGGCCCATAGACATCTACATCTATATTCGTTTGCGAATTAAAATGCAGATGCGTTGTCAGCCGTGAGGACCAAGATGGAATGCCTCTTTTCCAGTAAAAAGGTTCTCCGGTTCTCTACACTCACCATACGAAACACAGCAGCATTAAACTGCTATTTTACGCTGGTATTCTGTGAGAGTGTGGTCCTTCCCCGGTCGAGCCGACCCATTCGTGCTACAACCATACTAATAATATAGCTGCAGCAAGGCTCTACCACGTAAATATATTATATAATTCTCCTGTCCGTGTATATGTGACTGAACTTCTGCTAAACGGCTAGACCAATTTTGATGAAATTGTGTGTGCGAAATTAAGTAAATTAGAGAATGTTTTAGATTCACAATCGAACCCATTAGGTGCTGTTGTCGAGATCCAAAAGTTTACCGTGCGAAGCCGGGGCGAATACCTAGTATTTAATATAAATTTATATTCTTATGGTCATTAACATGAAATGAGTCACATTTATGTTATTTTTTGTAGATCAGAATTAAAACATAAATAAGAGTCTACCAGCATTATACACTTTAGTGGTACAATAATTTGTATATGTCAAGTGTTCTCGGGCAAAATAAAATGCTTTTTTCAGACTGGTTGCAGGAGAAATACAAAGACCCGCAATTATTTATTTTTGCTTTTACCTTTTGTTAGTCATTTTATCTTACATAACTTGGATAGTTATAACAAAAATTGAAACGGTATCAGATGATGAAAAATCTGGGTATAGGCTTAAGCTGGGTTTATCTTAGGTTGAGTGCACATTCGATCATTTGACGTATCTTGACCAGGCGTTTAACGGTCTTAAAATGTGGATGCTACAAATTTTCCTTCAACTATCTTTCCCACGTATTTAAACTTTTCAAGACCGTTTAGTATTCCCTGTGATGACCGGGAAAAAGCGATTAGGAATTAAATACGGCTTATCAGGTATAGTATTACATTATCGTGTAATCAATCATCGTCAAAATAATTGAATATTACCGATCACGATACCTACCGATCATGATACTTCTATCGTGATCGGTAGTATGGGCAAAACATTATGCCTTATACCATTCGGTAGTACAAGGATTTGTGTGGAGCGGGTCACATCTGACACAGTATCACAACAGCGTATCGCGTAATCACGTATTATTTTGCGTCCAAGCTAGCGATCATGATATACGTCTGCCCCACGCGATGAAGATACGATACATCAAGATGCGATAAATCAAATATGGACTCGGCCTAGCTACGGTTAGGTTTTTAGGTAAAAGAAAATATTGTAACTGTGTTATTCATAAACATTATTTTTATAAAATAAATTTTCTTTACTATATTATTAACAAGCCACTGTGTAGACATTTTTGTTAAAAACTTGTACTTTATTTTATTCTTCTTCTATTCATATCGCACGCAGTAACGTTATTTCTTCATTACTTGTAAGAGTTACGAGGGTAGTTACGATTATGTGTGTAAAAATCTAAATTTAGTATAAGATGGTTTAATAACAACGAGAACACCAAGTAAAAAGTGACAAAAAGCCGAACTAGTAGCGTAAGACATCTGTGTTAGCAATTATTTATGGCTGTCACGACCTAAGCTGGGTTCATTCGGTTATAGAGTGTTAAGACTATAAGAAACTTCAGTGTTTGTGTAAAGTGTAGTGCAAGTACTAAGTAAAAATACATTATGTATACGACAATTAGTTGTGAGTTATGAACAGATTAAAATAAAAGTGATGTGATGTAATATAAATTGCATTATTTGCTAACATCTGTAACAGCGATCGCCAATGCGCCTGAAGGGGAACGATTATAGAAATTTATTTCTACAATACGAGAAGCGCAATTCTAACTTTGGACAAAATGGACTGATAAAAAACGAAAGAAGGACGATTTATGGGTTTATTAAAAACAAAAAAGAAACGATAAAATATTATATCATTGAATTTAACAGTAAATGCTATAATAGTATGTATTAAATAACCGAATAAATTGAAAGCATTTATATCAATCCTGTCGCTAAACCGCCGCGAACTGTAATTTGAGGACATTTTATGCGATGGATTCTGTTTTGTAGTGATTTGATTGATTCAAATATGTACGCATATTCACGAGTATATGAAAACGAGCACGATATTGCAACAACGTGACCAGAATACCAATCCATGAAATGTAATGATACCAAAATAGATAGGGAGCTGTAAATTATATTTAGTAGTTTAGCAGTTCTATCTTTAGTAATTTGTTGAAATTGACTGCCGCGTTAGTTTAGTTGTCGTAATGTGACTGGTGATCTTGTGGTCCCAGGTTCGAATCTTGGATCGGGATAAAATCTGTGATTGGATTTTTGGTCCAAAAATCTCTGTAGCAGCTCGGAGTTAGGAATATGACGGTGTATTACCGCCGCCCCTCAGAAAGCACGTAAAGCCGTTGAACATGGGCCTGATTTCTATCCGGTAGTTTTTGATTGCTGTCCCATCGGACTATGACGGAACAGAAAGTACTCCTATGCTTGTACACACTTTTGTGCTTCATAATCCTGTCATGTGCACTTGACTAGTTTCTATTGATAGACGTAAATTTTTTTGTCATAAATAAAATAATGAAATAAATAAATAAAAAGTGAGTACCAGTCTTTTTTAAAAACTGAAGTGAAAAACGAACTTACATTCCACCGTATGGAAATTGGTTACTGCAATTTGAAGTCGATTAAATTTAAGCTTATATTATTTAAGCTATTTTATACTTCACTGCTGTGTGTAGCGGTGTAAGAACTACCCCAATATCCCATATCGTCCCGTGGGTGTCTTAAGAGGCGACAGAGGGAAAATAAAACAGGACATGAGCAGCAGTATCACCCTGATAACAGCTGAATTAAAAAAAACTGCGGTTGCAAACCCGCCCGCTAAGCGTGGCAACTATTGTAAATTTCCCCCTTTATGAGGCAATCTATGTGGGAGGTCTATGTTCAGCAGTGGACTTTAATAGGCTGTAACGGTAACGAATACTTCAATGAAGGGCCATGACGCTTTGCTCTCAGTGTGGTGCATTTCAAAAAATAATTTTAACAATATTAAGGTGATGTAAAGTGATTATTAGCACTAAAATATGATAATTAGTAATATAATACACACTAATTTATGATTTATAATAGTGTTAAAATAATTATTTACGTACACTAAAATAAATATTCTCAGCCAAGTCGTAAATCAAATAAAACTACCCTTACGTCGCAAACAGAAGGCTGGGCTCCAGTTCCTGATTCTGAATTGTAGATTTCGAAAGCTATACGTTACGTGCATTATTCTGGAAGTAATGAAGAGGAAAAGCGTGCAATATAAAGCGTAGATATTATTTTAATATCTTTATTAAAATTAAATACATATATGTATAGGTATAAAATCTATTGAATGTCTATGATTGTACAATGTTCTCATTTTATTTTATTTTAAATAAAAATAAATTTTTAATAAACCTAATAAATTTTCTTAACGGTTCGATTTTATAAAATAACGAATAATTGGGGAAGTTTCAAAATTTCGCGTTAAAGGTATTTATATAAGTAATATTCAAAATAATATATTGACGTCTAAACAATAATACTTCTAGATATAATGACTGCTATTTAAAATATAAAATAATTATTTCTTGTTATAACAGTGGCAGAGCCACGCGGCAGCTTTTGCTGTCGCACGGATGGGCCGGCTCGATCCGGGGTGGTACCACGACCTCACAGAATACCAGCGTGAACAAGAGGTTTACCTCTGCGTTTCGCTTGGTGAGTGCAGGTGGCCGGAGGCCCATTTTACTAGGAATGAGGCATTCCATCTTAGTCCTCACGGGTGACAAAGCATCTGCATCTTGATTCGCAAACGAGGATAGATGTAGATGTCTATGGGCCGCAGTAACCACTTACCATCAGGTGGACTGTGTGCTCGTTTTTCACCCTTATCCTATAAAAAAGGCACTATACTGCGGGGAGTAGGACTGTATGACAGATTAAGTTATTAGTTTTAATTTATTTTATTATGGTAATAAATGTTCATATTTGAATAACATCTCTTTTTTTATTATAAATTTAAGAGATATTAAATAAATCCATTAGAAAAAGATTTATGATCAGATTGTCTCGAAACGGCGTACATATTCTAAAACGCAAATAATGAAACACGCATTTCAGTGTTTCCCAAAATACCCTGAGGGTTTTATAAACGAAAGGCCCACGCATTCGTGTGAGCGTTCCTACTATTAATTATCTTCCATAATGTTAAGAAATTAGATATTACAATTTTACTGCAGATTTAATCATTATAGTTCAAAATTTATTTTAATTTCGGTAAAACACTGTTGAAATATTTGCAGAAATATTTATCATCGTCATTTAAAGTTATTTTTATGTTTACGTTTATATTAAAACCGTATAACGTTTTTATATGTGATAGAGTCACACTACAGCTTTATTATGGTTGAAGCATGAATGGGTTGGCTCGATCGGGGTAGACACAACAAGACGCTGGCGAGGTCCAAGATCAACTGATCATCCAAGAAGACTAGCTACAGCTATTTACAAGATACTGTTCCAAGATTATCGTTGTATTATTTACGAAAAACTAACGGGGTAATCACATGTAAAATTACGAGGCTGGGCACGTTTGTACCCCGCGCGTATTATGGAGTGATAACACTACAACAATGTAATTTAAAATAAAAAACGGCCCCCGAGAAGGTCGAACAGTTTGATTCAGACACGTAGATTTTGGTTTGAGTCAAATCAATTTGATCGTTTACGCCATTGGTATGACAGGTTTGATGAAACGTTGCATGTTGGAAGCTAGTCTTGTGCCGAATTTCGAAGCAATACATTCTATGTGGTTTCTAAAATTACAGATAAAGATGAAATAGACATTGAAAACGCCTCAACGTCGTAACGACACGATTTGTATTCGGACGTGACTATATCCAACCGTAAATTCACTTCAATATTAATATCGTTACAACAAGATGCGCTTGAATTGTGGAAGGTGAAATTGAAATTCATTACGATAAAAAGACGACAATAGCGATGACTAAAATTACAAAAGCGTTACGAGTGCTAGATAGAAACTTCACCGAGTATGATTTAAGAAAAAAAATAAACAAGCTTTGAACAAATTTTAATCGTGAATTTAAAAAGAAGGATTCCATGAAATCCGGAGCTGATGGAGACAATACCTACGTACCGAAACTTTGATACTTCAATGACATGACTTTCCTGCTAAAATCGATGGAAATAGCGGAAGAGGAAGACTCTTTGGAATTCCAGGTCAGTTACATTTTCCGTTTTATGGTAAAAGAGTACGTACTCAGTTGTTATTTTATTCAAGACAGATGTTTTGCCATGAGACTGCTCCGCTTTTATTAAAGTATTGACAATAGTCATTTCGTATTATTTTTGCCTCGTTTGCCAAATTACCTTTGAGGGCTTGTAAAGAGATCAATCGCTCTCCATGAACCTGGTACTATTTTGCCAATATTAACATTCTCATAATCTATATCAGCTTGGCGTAAAAACATATATTTCCTCTTTGACAAATAGTTATGAAAAGCGAGCACTATTTTTAGCGAACTTTATTTGGAGCCAATGGAATTGATTTTTTAAAAAATTTTAATCGAGATGACAGTATCCCAAAACTATTTTCTATAATTCTTCGCGCACGGGACAATCCGTAATTAAAAATTTTCTTATTGTCTGTCGAATCTGTTCTTCTGTATGGTTTCATGACATTTAGTGTTAATTGATTCTTTGGAAAATGCTGCTAATGTAATGGATTCGGGTATATTTAGTTGATTGTTGGCAAGTAGATTCCAAAAAGTTGTATTCTTAATAACAACACCGTCTGAGATTGGACCGTTTGCTCTAACATCTACCATGACTAAATCATAGCATTTACAATTTTCTTATAGGATAAGGGTGAAAAACTAGCACGCAGTCCACCTGATGGTAAATGACATCTACATCTATTCTCCATTACAAATCAAAATGCAGATGCGCTATCACCCGTGAGGACTAAGATAAAACGCCTCGTTTCCAGTAAAAAGGGTCTCCGCTTCTCTACACACACTATATGAAACACAGCAGCGTTAAGCTGCTATTTCACGCCGGTATTCTGTGAGAGCGTGGTCCCTTCCCGGTCGAGCCGACCCATTCGTGCTACAACTATACTATGTATTAATATAGCTGCACCATGGCTCTACCACGTAAAAACAATGCTGTAGGTCCCTTTATAATTATGATAATACGACGCAGAGTTTGCTGGATTTAGAATTTCAATATGTTTGCCTTCGACACTGCCAATGCAATTATGGAAGTTCCATCGCTGCTCATATTCTTGTGCTACTTTCAACCATTCCTCGCGTGTTCTCGGCAACAGAAAATAACATTATGAGTATGTGTATTTAGTAAAAATGAGAAATTTATAAACTTTTTTTAAGATTCTTCCGAAGAAGCTAGTCAACCATGTTCAACTGGAGGTACTAAGACTTCATATTTTGGTAACAAACATGAAGACGAATATGACATAATGGCTAAACCCAGGGCTATGCAAATTAGAAAACTAGCACCTGACCAAAAATTTTATGCACGGAAAATCATCAATGACGTTTTATTTGAGGGTTCCATGGGCACACTAACCAGGAACGGTGTGTTAAACAACGGGCCTCAAAATTCTATTCAAACCACTAATAATTTAAATCTGATTCAGCCAGAAGACCTTATGCCAGACAGTGATATAGTAACTTAAGCAGCAGCTGAATATTTAGCAAAGCTTTCTAATATTTAAGGAACAACAAATATTTTTATAACATTTGTTATGTATTAAAAATAAGGATTTCGCTTCTTCTTGAGGGTTCTAAGAAAAAGGGTGGTATCGACAAGACTCAGTTCCTGCCCATTTTAAATTACATTAGTATTTAATAGTTCGACATTTGGAGTTATGAATTTTATACATTTCGTTTTAGTGTCATTTAAATGTAAATTATTAACACTGAACCAATTTACTAATTTAGATACAGCATTATTTACTTCGTCGTATTTTAATTATTGTCGTTTTAATTTGAAAATTAAAAAAGTGTTATCATCAAATAAAACTATATCATGGTTATCCCCTATTTTGTAAGGTAAGTCATTAATGCATACAAGAAAGAGAAAGGGGCCGATAATTCAGCATTGAGGCACGCCTATTTGTAACATCGACCCGGGAGAGGTCAAACTGTTAATGATACCTTTTTGCGTTCTGTTACTTAAATATGAAATTATTAATTTAGGAGCATCACTTCTTACACCGTAGTATTGAAGTTTCTTGATTAATGTTTCATGATGAATATAATCGTCGGCAAATCGAAGGTGAATGATGTACTCGCCATTGATATTAATACCGTATCCTTTTCAGTCCAGAAGGTTGAAAACATCTTCCAATGCAGCGGTGAAGAGTTTCGAGGATATATCGTCACCCTGCCTTACACCTCCATGGAATTGGATAGGTTTCGTACTCTGGTTCTGTACTCGGATAGCCATCATAGCTCTACTGTACAAACACTTCAGCACTCCGATATACCGACAGTCAACAAGAAAATTCTAAGAATATTTTTATGTATATTTGTTTTTATCCCTGGATCGGGAGGGCCCCACATCCAACGGTGGACCTTTACTTAGTATTTTGAAAATGATAATATTATATGTAGGATAATTTAAGTGTAAGTAATAAACTGAAGATACGCCTTCTAAACTTAGGCTTAGTTTTGAACGCATGCTAATCCGTCTAACCCTAAGCTTAACCACAAATACTTGCAATAAAAAATATAGTAGTAAATAAAAATGAAAGAAGAAAACTAAAAGAAGTTGATACATATAAAGTTTTTAACGAGGTAGAGCTATACTGCAGATATATTAACTGTATAGTTGTAGCACGAAAGGGTCGGGCCGACCGGGGAAGAACCACTTTCTCACAGAATACCAGCGTAAAATATCACAAATCTCACAGAACACAAGTGTAGAGAACCGGATACCCTTTTTAATGGGAAGGATGCAATCCATCTTAGTCCTCACGGGTGACAACGCATCTGCATTTTGTTTCGTAATCGAGGATAGAAGTAGATATCTATGGGAAAAACACATCAGGTGGACTCTCTGTTCGTTTGTCACCCCTATCCTATAAAAATGTATTTACTTTTTCTAGCTTCTTTCTTTTAATTATTTTTTTTTACACAAAATCAATGTTTTACATGATACTTTATTTGTCATATTGTTAGACACCGGTCGTCCTCACTAATATAAATTAAAACAATAGATTAGGTTAAATTTTGGTTAATATAAATATAATTATACAATATTAGATATACGAAAAAAAGTATAGATGAAATAATGAAAGCAATGAAAAGTATGAAAGCAGGTAAGGCAGCCGGTTAACAGAAACAGACAGAAACAGAAACAGAAACTTTTTTATTCAATATAGATTATAAATCATACTTATTGAAAGTCACTCTTTTGTTTGATTACCACTGGTTCGGAAAAAACCTCTGTCCTGGGAAGAACCAGCAAGAAACCCAGCGGGACTTTTTTTTTTAAATAACAGCTTACAATCATGATGTTACACAAATTAACAACACAACAAATTAGAAATAGCTTGGTAGCGATCACCTCATTTCCAGGGGTTATTATCATCCATAAATTCCTTAATATTATAATAACCCTTTTTATACAAACTTAGTTTAATAAAGTTTTTGAACTTTGAACAGGTCAAACTTTGTATATTTTCTGAAATTTTGTTGTAAAAGCGTATACATCGCCCCAAGAATGAATTACTGACTCGATGGAGTCGAGTAACTGGTACTACTAGCTTGTGTCTGTTCCTAGTATTTACAGAATGAATATCACTTATTTTTGTAAAACTACTTTTATTTTTGTGTACGTACATTACATTTTCATAAATGTATTGAGAGGCCAAAGTTAATATATTAATTTCCTTAAATTTTTGTCGCAGCGACTCTTTAGGCTTTAAATCATAAATTGCTCTTATGGCCCTCTTCTGCAAAACAAATATAATTTCAGTGTCAGCTGCGTGTCCCCATAGCAAAATACCATACGACATTATGCTATGGAAGCAGCTGAAGTAAACTAGTCTAGCTGTTTCAACACTGGTTAGACTTCTAATCTTTTTTACAGCATATGCTGCAGAACTAAGTCTGCTTGCTAGTTTTGATATATGGGGGCTCCATTGAAGCTTCGCGTCTAGTGTGATTCCAAGAAAAATGGTGGTATCTACAAGACTCAGTTTCACCCCATTTAAAATTACATTAGTATTTAATTGTTTGACATTTGGAGTCACGAATTTCATACATTTTGTTTTAGTGCCATTTAAATGCAAATTATTAACATCGAACCAATTTACTAATTTAGATATAGCATTATTTACTTCGTCATATTTTAGTAACTGTCGACTTAATTTGAAAATTAAAGAAGTGTCATCTGCAAATAATACTATATCATGGTTATCCCCTACTATGTAAGGTAAGTCATTAATGTATACAAGAAACAGAAAGGGGCCGAGAATTGAGCCTTGAGGCACGCCCATTTGTACCGTCGATCCGGAAGAGCTCATATTGTTAATGACAACTTTTTGCATTCTCTTACTTAAATATGAAATAATTAATTTAAGGGCATCACTTCTTACACCGTAGTGTTGAAGTTTCCTGATTAATGTTTCATGGTGAACACAATCGAAGGCCTTGGATAGGTCACAAAATATACCCAAAGCATCCTGTGAATTCTCCCATGCATTAAAGATATATTTAATCAGCTCAACACCGGCATCAGTTGTCGAGCGACCCCTTGTGAAACCAAATTGATTTTTATGAAGTAAATTATTTATATTAAAAAAATTTAACATTTGATCAAGAACAATTTTTTCAAAAATCTTACTAAGTGTTGGTAGTACAGAAATAGGTCTAAAATTGGCGGGGTCTAATGTACTACCAGATTAAATAAAGGTATTACTTTACTATGCTTCATTTAATCAGGAAACACACCAGATTCGATACTAGTATTAAAAATAATAGCTAAATGAGGCGCGATTATGATAGAGTATCTCTCGAAATGCTAAGGGCTGGAGAAGGAGTGGTGGCAGACCTGCTGTACACCTTGTTTAATTTATGTTGGGAACTTAAGCGGGTACCGGGAGACTGGTGCAAAGCCGTGATAGTCCCAATATATAAGGGAAAAGGATCACAGCAGGACTGTAAAAACTACCGTGGTATCAGCCTTCTCAGCATTGTGGGAAAACTGTATGCTAAGGTACTAATTGAAAGAGTTATAAAAGAAACTGACGGAAAAATTTGGGATGTGCAAGCGGGATTTAGAAAGGGAATGCGATGTACGGATCAGGTCTTTTCCATGCGCATGATCGCCGAGAAGTTTTTGGCCAAAAACCTAAAAGTTTTTTGTGCGTTCATGGACTTGGAGAAGGCTTATGACAGAGTAGACAGGGATGTGTTATGGCAAACACTGAACTCATTTGGGTTGAGCGCTGGTCTGATACAGGCATTGAAGTCTCTATATAGGGACTCTAGTGCTTGTGTCAGGATCAACGGGGCCTACTCGGACTGGTTTGACATCCATAAAGGTGTCAAACAGGGCTGTGTGGCTTCCCCGTGGTTGTTCAACCTATTTATGGACAGTTGTTTGGAAAATTTGAAAGTAGAAGAATGCGGGTTAAGAATGGGTGAGTTAACCGTCAAATGCCTTTTGTACGCCGATGATCAAGTCATACTTGCGTCGTCGTCGGCAGCCGAGTTGCAAATGATGGTTACATTAATGAACAGGACATTAAAAGAAAAGGGAATGAAAGTGAACGCAAGTAAGACGAAAGTTATGGTTTTTGAAAGAGAAGAAAGTAAAACGATGTGTGAAATAAGAATAGAAGGGGAGTTGGTAGAGCAAGTAGATGAGTTTGTATATTTGGGATGTGTGTTTAGGAGGGATGGTAGATATGATAAGGATATAGAACGACGAGTGAATGCAGGAAATAGAGTGAATGGGGCTCTACACTCTATTGTGAAAAGTCAGAATGTGTCCAAAAAGGCACGTATGGCAATTCACAATGCTGTGTTAGTACCTACTTTAATGTATGGTAGTGAAAGTTGGGTGTGGCAGAAGAAGCATGAGAGTAGAATAAATGCTGTAGAAATGCGGTCATTAAGGAGTATGTTAGGGATGAATCTGAATGACAGAGTGAGAAATTGTTTAATAATAGAAGAGTGTGGTTTGCAAGATGATGTTGTGACCAGAATTAAGAAAGGAATGCTTCGGTGGTTTGGCCATGTAGAAACAATGAATGAGGAAAGAGTGACAAAGCAAATTTATGTTGCAGAGGTGAACGGCATAGTCGGGAAGGGTCGCCCTAGGCGAAAGTTTATCGACCAAATTGGCGATATATTAAAAATGGGCCAAATCAAGAGTACCTTTAACCGACGAGCGTGTATGCATAGGTATATGGATGTGGAGGAAGCGAGAGAGGTGTGTCAGGATCGTGCCAAATGGAAGTCCATAATCTCTGCCTACCCTTCTGGGTGACAGGCGTGAGTGTTTATGTGTATGTGTAGATATACGCATTTGCTATACGATGGCAGTGTAGAACAATCTTCACCCTATTGACGTGGTTTTAAAAGGCAAATATGGGAAAAGCCATAAAAATGTTATAACTTTCGATATATGTCTCAGGGTTGACTCGTAGAGAATTCTATAAGC